AACTGGATTTATCGTTGCATCCATTGCTTGACAACCCAGCTTGAGACTTTCCCTTCTAGTTTTCCTTTGGAGGACCTTTCCACTTTTTCCCTTTCCCTTGACCAATGGCCAGAATGGGAGCACTAGCAGGAGTGGAGGCAACACCTTTTCCCTTCATCCCTGATTCAACTGTTCGAAGGAGGTTGTGAAATTGAGAGAAGGTGGTCTTATTGTTGTTCAAATGATAGGTCAAAATGAACTGATCATAACAACTTGGTAAGGAGTTCAAGACTATGTCGATAGCCAACTCCTCATCAAAATTCATATTAAGCATGACAAGCCTATCCATGTATCGTTGCATTCTCTGCACGTGGCTACTAACAGACTCTCCCTTTTTCATCTTGCCAACTATGTGGGACTTTACCACCTGTTACTTTTCCTAAAGAGCTCGCTTATGGTACTTTTCCATAAGGTCCTTGTTCATCTCGTACGACTTGTAATCCTCATAGTATCTTTGCAATTTAGGAGTCATCGTGGCCATCATGATGCACACAACTTTTGTTGGATTATTGTAGTGTTTATTGTAGGCAACCAGTTCTTCAAGAGTGACCTTCTCTTCGTCAATCTCATCTAATGGTCTTTAATGTACATACTCCTTGTCCTCGAAATGAAGGGCCATCTTGATGTTGCGCATCCAGTCATTATAGTTGGTGCCATCTAATTGCACCTTGGAGCAGATGTTCAACAAGGAAAAGTTATGGGAGGAGCAGGAGGAACCAGAAGCAGCATTTGGAGTAGACATCTGTAAAAGAAAGGTAGTTTTACTTAGATAAGAACAATCCTTAATATAACAATCCAAAAATGAAATATTAAGTATAATGTGCAATTTCATGGTTAGCATACAAATTCACATTTTTTTTCCTAAAGTAACTAAGATTGGGATTTTAAGAAAAAAAATTTGTTACTTTTATAATAACATTATACTTTTAATGAGAATTAATTTGTCCTATCAAACCCGTTCGGCTTAAAACCCTCCACTAATCAAGGAAGTGGTGGGTGAGAGTGGACATCCATTCACCTACCATTTTATAGGCAGTTTTCTTATGCCCCCTTATAGATCAGCTTTGTGAATGAGGCGTACTAACGGTTCGACTGACTTAGTCTTGTACGTATAGTAATAATTAAATATTTAATTCTACATATAGTATAAGGTGTATTTTAAAAACTTTTTCAAAATACTAGGTTTATAGTAAATTTAAAAAATTAAAATAATTTAAATTTAAAATAAACCAAATAATATTTGACATTATTTATTAAGTTCAATTAATATCTAAATTAATTATTTATACACTTAAAAAATCAATCATATTAATCAACAAATAATTAATCGAGTCAAAAACTTATCTCCTAACTTCTAGGCTTTTATTTTATCATCATATATTCAGTAAAATCGGATTTGGAAGATAAATATAACAGATAATTATCACATTTAAGCAGATTAGGCAGATAAGCAACAAAAAATCGGACCTGAACCGAGCTCACGTCGTGAGCACCAATGCTCACGTCGTGAGTTGTGACTATTCCGAAAATTTTAGTTTCTTTTGAATTGATCCATTCACCAATGTGCAAATACATGAAAGAAAGCTACAGACTCTGATACTGCTGATGGAAAACATAGGTTACAAAAAAACTATACTCTAAGATGAAAAACATTTAACAATTAAATGATTAGGGCACATGCAACCTATGAAGGATCTATGTCTTTCACATAAAGGCAACATACTATGAACTATCAGAACTACAAAATTTATTGTCTAAATCTGAATTCACAAGATAAAATACATACCTTATTGATTGTTGAAGTAAACAACCAAGAATCCCTGATGTTGATCTTTTGGAAGCAAACACCACAAGCGTTGTGCCTCTTCTGGTTCACACCCAACACAAGCAAGAAGGATATTGAGAAGAGAAGGGAAAGTGATCAGAATGTCGGCCTAAGCTCTCTAAGGTATGACTGGCCGAAATCATAGCCCTAGGGGCCTTTATATAGTGCAATCTGGAAACCCTAGATAAGCCCAAACTGAATATAATAATATTATTTTGAATTGAGTATTTATTCAGCTTCCTGTTTATCCACATGGGATATTCTAGAAACCCTAGAATATCCCTTGAAACCATCCATGGCCTCAAGGAGGTTCTATAATGTCTCTTATTCAACTATTGAACAATCACACTTTAGTCCCTGCACTTTTAATTAATTCTTTTAATCACAAAATTAATTTCAATTAATTTCTGATTAAATATCAATTAAATATTACTATTTCTAATTAATATATTACTCTCATAATATATTAATAAATTATTCATTTTAATTTATTAATCAAATAATAAGTCAATCTCTCTCTCCAAAAATATTCTGTCCAATTGCTAGGTTTGAGGTCAACCCAAAATGATTGTGCTACTATCAATTCAAGTTCATACCTATTATAGTTATGAGCTTAGACACCTAATCCAACACTATACATCGCTTTCTTTACTCGGGGCTCATGGGTAGGGAGTTTTTGGGTGATGGTGTTAGGGAAGGTGCCCTATGAATTTCAATGTCGGGAAAATCACAACCATCAATCCACGTCGAGCTAACTATCCACCATTTAGTACGCATCTCATCTTCTGTCAGCTCCAACTTCTATACGAGACTATTATCTTGGTAACATAAATTAAAAAAATATAAATAAACATAAATTATAAAATAAGTAAATATTTAAATAATAAAGTAAACATACGTCGTCAATTTGGAAAAGCTGGTTGCAGTGAGACTTTTGTAACGGCCTCAGTTTTGACCATGCAATAGCCCGATGGATCACATTCTGTTTTCGGGTACCAAACAAACTTCTCACCGGAAAAGCCTCAAGAATCTGTATCTAAATGTTAGCAAATAAACAAATAAATAATTGTTAGAATGTTAGCAAACAAACATAAATAATAAAATTGTCATCATATACTTACCTTAACAACGTGTAAAAACCCCTATAGGGTGTAGATCAAATTTTGAGGTTTATTCTCTTTCGGTTCGTTTGGATGTATAAGCTTGTCAATCTTATTGAATACAGTAAATAACTGTTTGTACAATTGATCCCAAATTATCCTCCCCCATGGATAGTTGCCACATAAAAAAATAGTTAACCATTAAATTTCTAAAACATATTAGTAACGATTAGTAATTATAATCAGTAATTATAAAATAAACGACATTATAGCTGCTGAATTCATCAATATTAGATAGCAAAGCGAAATACTTTTCTGTAACACGTTGTTTAGCCAACCGCCCCTTGAAACCCTTCTCTAATAGATATAGAAGACATATACAGACTGCATCATCGTCCGGTAACTCATTAAGTGAATATTTAAACACCTTCATAACATAGTCTAATTTGACTGAGACATTCGTCGGGACCATAGGAAAGGCATAACAACAGAAGGCGGCACCGGATGCGGAAGCGGGAAAATTGTCACCAAACCGGAAGCCGGTGATGAGACAAAATTCTTTCTTCTCGAAAGACAGCTCGTAACCCCCAATCTCAAAAACCATTTCCTCTACTTGGCTTCGGGGGTCAGTGACAACTTCGTGACCAAAGACGTAATGTAGAAGCAAATGATCCCTATCTACATTAGAAATGTCTAACCAACTCCCAAAACATGTATTCCGGAACAAAGTCTCGCATTTGGGTCTGTCTCTGAATTCCGCAAGAATTTCCCTTCCGATTTTGGGTGTACACGAGAGTGTAATTGATGCATCAAAAAGCATATCGTCCTGCATAAATAAAAAAGTTGTTATCACTTCATTCCGAAATGGAAACGACCAATATTCCGGACCAGTTTCGGACCTGTTCCTTATGTTCCGGACGAGTTCATCGTGTTCCGGAACAGTGCGTCACATTCTTGAGGTTTCCGGAATGAAATTTCAAGATCCGGAATACGACATTTCGATGTAAATCAACAATACCTAAACATCTAAACTACTTTTAAGTTGGTCCTACAACAATGTCATATGTAATTTAAACTACAGAACGATTTCAGTTCGTTCCGAAAATGGTCTACGAATTCCGGAACAGTAACAATAGAAAAATAGGAGCCTTAAACAAACAAGGAAACTATGTAAAGAGAAAACAAAGAACGTACCCGTAAAATAACGGGGTCGTAGTGCTTGTCTTCCATGTCGGAGAATGGTGTTGATGTGTGTCAGAGTTGGGAGTTGCGTATCGGAATCGAGTTGGAACGTTGGAATCGAGTCGGAACGTCGGAATAGAGTCGGAATGTCGGAATCAAAATGCATCTTTTTGGAATGAAATTGCTGCATCAAATTAGATTCCGGATTTTGAAATTTAAAATCCCGATCCGGAACATATACGGTTGATCCGGAATATGCATTCCGGATCCGATGCAATGGGCCGGACCACCCGAAAAATAATCTGAAATTCGTTCCGGAACGACCATTCCGAAATATGTGGTTATTTTGAAAATAATAAAAAGTTATATTAAAAAAAAAAAAACTCAAAACAGTAGTTAGATTACTTAAATTCTCCTATTAAAATCCTATATGTTTGTTTCATAACAAATTATTTAACACTATTTCCAAATATGTTCTAACGTCCGTTTAAGATTTCTTGACAAGCACATGTGTAGCATTAATAGGTCACATGAAAGAAACGAGATGGTAGGAAACCTAAAGATGACGATGTCGCAGAGGTTAGGGAATGTGTCACTATAGAAGTATTAGATACTGTACAGGAGGCGGGTCATATTATGCAGCAAACACATGTGGGAGGCCATCTCTTTAATTGCTTCTTTCGTACCAAATTTCATTAAATAAATTGAGTTAAACACTATCCTGTCATTTAAAAGATTAATTAATGCATGCCTACTAATTGTGCTGGTATAAATAGAAAACCAAAGTCTATTTTAATTATCATCAGAAAGAGTTTACTGCTTGCAGGCCAATCTATAAGACTATAACCAAACGAATGGCATCATTATCATTGTTTGCTCCTTCTCGTTGGTCATCCCCATCTCGATCTTATAATGACAGCAATCTTCAAGTTGACGAGGAACTCACCAATCTTAAAACATGGGAATCATCAATGTCACGTATACCTGATGCAGAAACATTTTGCAGTGGTTTAGCATGCCTGGAAAGATTATACACATGTGCTGACAATCTTTTAAGTCTGCCACTGACCCAACAAGCCTTTTCAAACTATCAACATGATAAATTAGTTGAGGAGTTGCTGGTTCGATCAATGAGACTTTTGGATAGTTGTGGTACTATTGGAGATGTAGTTTCGCAAGTGAAGGCACATGTAAGAGATATTCGATCTGCTCAAAGGAGACGAAAGGAAGATTTAAGCATCGATGATTCATTTGTAAAGAAACTAAACAAGGATGCCAAGAAAGCAGTTGGAGAGTTAAAGCAAATCGATCAGATTTATGCCTCAAAACCGTTAAATCTTGAGCACCACCTCTCTTCGGTGATCGCAGTACTAAGAGACGTTAGCGAAGTCAGCATTTCTGTGTTTGGATTGCTCTTATCGTTCTTGTCTTTGTCTATTACCAAGCTGAAGTCAACAAGTAAATGGTCGACAGTCTGGAAATTGATTCAGAAAGAAACAGCAGGAAGCAAGTATCCTTCTCAAACTTGTGTTGAGACTTTGGATACCCACGTTGAAGGGATTGAGATTGGCTTGACGTCCATGTTTAGAAATCTGATCAGAACAAGAGCCTCCATCCTAAATATCAAATCTCTCTAAATTTGATCAGACGAAGAGCCTCATATAAAATAAACCGGTTTTTAAACCTATACAACCGGGTCTGTTAATAGTTATGTTATATGACCGGTTTTTTTAAATAGATATCCTCCAACATCCTCACTTGTGGAAGGGTTATGACACCCGGTTATTTAACAACCAGGTTATTTCCAAATTATAGCACCTGGTTAATCACAATAGCGTTTTTTTTTTCTTTTTTTTTTTTTTTTTTTTTTTTTTATTTTTATCACACAAACCTAGGTTCACATGCAAAGAGCCGCCATGTTCAAATAAGTGTATGTACTTATCCATTGAAAATCTCATTTTCATGTTATACAAAATATTCTCTTTAAATTATATATATATATATATATATATATATATATATATATATATATATATATATATATATATATATATATATAGGGGCAGAGCTTCAACATATGATTTGGGGGCCAAAAAATATAATATGTATAAAAATCGGTGAGCAGGGGGCTACCGCCAAAATTTTATATTTTTTGGTCTAATATGTATAACATTAAAGTGTAAGGGGCTATTTGTAACAAAAAAAAATCAGGGGGGCCACAGCCCCCATTGCCCTAATAAAGCTCCGCCTATATATATATATATATATATATATATATATATATATATATATATATTATATATATATATATATATTAACGTACAATGATTAAGATGGAAAACGGGCAATAAGTTGCGCCGCTAAGCATTTTTGTATGGTAAAGTTAGTTCTTTTGAAGACTACATCTATAAATATAGGGGATATATCATTGCTATGCATGATCCGTTGTACTCTCTTAACAAGCTCCATCGCATCCGGCGTGAGGAAACCAAATGTATTAAATGCAAATTATATGAGCAAGTGTTGATTTGCACACACGATTTCTCATGTTTGGTGACCTTGCATGTAGCAGCTTTTAAAGCAGTCTGTCTCGCTGTAAAACCCCCAACCCTCAAGCCCACGAGAGGGGATAGCCCTGTAAGGTCCACACCAAGGTTGCAGAACTCGCTACTCGGTACCTGCTCGGCCGACTACCCAGTAGCGAGTACTCAGGAGTACTCGGATTCGGTAATTCGTGTAGAAATATTTTTAAGAAAATTTTATATGTCAAAATCATAAGTTAAAATCATAATTTGATTGAAATATATAACAAAATTAGATAATGTGAATACATAAAACCTGAAATACACACAATTGTCTCAATTCGTGAATAATTACTGAAAATTTAAGATATATATATATATATAGATATATAATATATATTCGATAGATATAGATATATAGTAATAATCACATGTGTGTGTTAAATAATAAATCATTAAGTGTATTATACATATTAATCTTGAAATTCTTGAGTTTTTTGTTCTCTTTTTTGACAATTTTGACCCTTTGACCAAGTTGACCGAGTTTGACCGAGTTGGCCGAGTTTGACTGAGTAGGCCCGAGTAAGACCGAGTAGGCCCGAGTTAGAGAGATATTGACCGATTTTTGACTGAGGTTGACCGATTTTTGACCGAGTTTGACTTTATCCGAGTTTTTTGGCCGAGATCACAAAACTCGCCTCGGTGGAGGGCCGATTCCGAGTACTCGGCCGAGTAGGCCAAGTTTTACAACACTGGTCCACACGTACGTGTTTTCCTCCAACCCATCCAAAAATCAGAACGAGAGGGGATGCCCCAATATATTAAAACTCTTATTCATCATATTTTTGCACATTTTCGAATTTATATTTATTACTTCTCTTTTTATTTATACAATATATATTTTTCATAAAATCCTAGACTTTCTAATATATATACTAAAAAGACTGTTATTTCGTGCCAAGAATATAACTGAAGAAGATAACAATATAGAAATGTATAATGTCATAAAAAGAAAATAATCGAAAGTACAATGTTGTAATAATAAAAGCAGGATGTTGTGGATGTTAGAAATGCTATAATACACAAGTACATATATGAAAATGCATTGATATATTCAATCGTACAGTTGTTCCCTAAAATTTACCCTTCTATACAATTCAATATCAAGGGATGACAAAACGTGTTTGTGTATGTGCATGTCTCAAACACAAATATCTTGCCAATTGCAAAAGCATCATATGCGCATCGAGTGGCTACATTACATAAAATGCATTTTGTCACAAGTTTTCGTACATATCCTACACTCATCATCTCTATCGACATCTTTACAAGTTGTTCTTATGATCTTCATCGTTCCTCAATTCAATCAACATCTTTATAACTGTTTTTTTTATGATCATCATCGTTGCTCAATATATGATGAACCAATGAATCGAGTAATGAATTAATCAGAGTATGAATTCAAGTAAGAATATGAGATTTGAACACACGATGTAAATATGATCTTGTTATGCTCTATTATGCTTTTGAATTCTTTATAGAGAATAGTAGACCAGTTTGTAAAAGTTCTTATCTAACTCTAGTAAATAACCCTATTTATAGGGAACTGAAAGCATACAAAAAATATACTAAGGCATTGACTCTATAGCTTCGAATAAAAGCGCCCTAGTAAAATACATTACAAAATATTCGAAGAGTTCAAAACATACTTCGACTAATTACAATAATTCGACCCTTACAATCTCCCCCTTTGTAATCATAGTCGAAGTCTTCAATTTGTAAGAAGTGTGATGGAATACAGTAATACTCTTCGAATCTCCGTGTACCAGGAGATAATCTTCTTCAGCTCTTTCTTGTCGCCTTCATTGTTCTTCTTGCAATGATTCATACGAACAATCAAGTTCGTATATTGAGATGTTGAATATCTCTCGACTTCACTTGCTTGGAATAAGAACCGTTTAGACTTTCCAGCTTTGTCTTTTCCTGCGAAGACAATTCCAAAAGGCTTCAGGCAAATTTCACCATCAGCATACTTCTTCAATTCAGCCTGAGTCTTCGTAGGAGCCATCGGAGCTTTAATTTCCATTCCTTTGGCAGTAGCTAATTCAACATCTGTTAGTGCCAAGCACTCATAATAGTTTTCGATAAAAATCTTGATGTGAGCTACTCCAAGCTTGAATTCATCTGGTTCTGTGTTTTGAAGGTATGAGAATGATTTGTCTTTCAAAAGTAATGCAACTTGTATAAGATCATACAAGTTCATTAATGGAAAATCTGCAACAGTGAATTCGCAAATATTTCCATTTGCCCTGGCAACCACATACTTAACATTTTGGACTGTGTTTTCGAAAACCACATCCTTTTTCATACTTATGACCTTCTTGATTTTTATTGAAGACCAAACTTCCTCAGGGGCTTTTCCAAGAACAGCATGAAAACGAATTTTCATGTGTGTACCTTCATCTTTATTTTTAAAATTCCCTTCTGCTTTGAACTGAGGCATGATAAACATCATTTCGTTTATGGGAAAATCCAGCTGGCCTGCATCAGTATTTGTGACCAAATAACTCTGCTTTGGTTTCTTCTCAAATGAATACATGTGATTGAATGCAACCTTGGCCTCGATTGTTTCGTAGTTATAGTGTTTAGTTGGATCCCCTTTATCCATTCCCTTCGGATCATTTGCTCGCTGAGCCATAATGCTTTGAACTATTCTGAGCTTTTCGATTTCAGCATCAACTTCAGCCTTCTTTTCTTCTTTTGATTTTTCCACAACAATCGATTTCCCTTTATCTTTCAATGCTTGATTGTCAGTTGTCTCTTTTGGTTTTGAACCACTCCCACCAGTCTCCGAAGATTTACCAATCACAATTCCTTTCGAAATTGGTCTTGCAATTGGCATTGTTGTTACGACTGTTGAAGTCACCTGTTCAGCAGAAACAATTATTGGTTTTGTTGTAGGGATTTTCGAAGAAAAGACTTTTCCCACAACTTTCGCATCTTCTCCACTAGTCTTCGACTCACTAGTTTTTCTTTCTCCCCCTTGCACCCCTGTGAAACAGGTGGGGCATTTGTGGTTGGAAGAAGACTTGATATGCGAAAGAGAGGAGCAAGTTGCTTGTTGAGAATGACTTCGAATTGGATAAACTTCTGAGATAAAAATTCAGGAGGTAATCAATGGAGAAGAAACCGGCCTATCAGAAATCTCTTTTAACTCCTTAAGCAACTTAAGCACTTCTTCAAAGCTTGCACTTTCGGATGTTGAAAGTTGAGTAATTTGAGGACTCAAATTTTCATACAACTTAACAAATCGAGTGATTGCGTCACAAATGATATCAACATTTTGATGCAATGATGCTTAGTCATGTTGAACAGTTGCTATTTCTCTTTTCATATCTTCACGAAGTTCATGAATTTGCAAGTTGACATCCTCTCGAACTTTCTTCACATCTTGAATAAAAAGAACATGTCGTTCCTTTGCAACATTCTTCAATTCTTTCAGATTACCAGCAAACTTCGAACTCTGAGAATTGATCCGAATTTCATTGTTTTGATCATTATGATCAATCTTCTCCAAGACTCGAGATTCAGAATCTTTAAGCATCCCCGATACTTTACTTATGATTCTGGATTCAAACACCTTCAACAATGAATCAACTTCAACACTTGAAACAGACGAACCAACCCCTAGATCTACTTGAGATTGAATGACAGAATTCAACTTTTGATTTAAAATCTTAAACTGCTTCATGGTCATCAGCATGTGATCTGGAAACTGCTCTTCTTCTTCATGAAACTCCAAGTCTTCAAACATACCGCCAAACCCCTCATTATCAGTCTCTGTCTCCATACAAACAGTTTCTTGAATAGGTGAAGTTGTTTTGGGTGGCTCAGTAGATTGAGAAGAAAAAATAGACGTAAAGGGTTGATCAAGAATGTGTTCGAATGTTGGGGAATCTGTTGTTGAAGTAAGAGGAGTAGAAGATAATGGTAAAGAAACAGTACTTGCAAAAGGAGCAGAAGTAGATGGATCTGTAGCTTCATTTTTCGAACCTCCTTCACCCATATTGACATTTGCATCCGTATCAGATACGTGTGCAGGGATGCCTGAAGTT